CAAGGGTAGCAGCAGCTGCCTGGTCTCCTCTCCTGGTGGGGTCCCAAGGTAGTACTTGGTAAGGGGCACCGGTCCAGCTGAATAGAATTGGGGGAACTTTTTGACCACTGTAATAAACTACATCCCAAGGGTCACAGCTGTAGCAAAAGAAAGGAGGAGAAGGAATGGGATGGAGAGGTGGGGGAGAAAACCTCCCCATGTCATTTGTGGGGCGAACAGGGAAGGGGGGATGGGTGGGGATAATCTCAGTCTGGCTGTTTGTACAAGCTGTGAAAGGCCTGAGGGAAGACAGAGGGACCCGGAGGCAATGAAATTTTATGCCTTGTGAGGGCAGATTTTTTTTTTTAATGACAAAGTGATAACTGAGATAATTTCACATACCATACAAGTCACCCTTTAAAATACACAATTCAGTGGTTTTTGGTATATTCACAAGGTTGTGCAGCAACTACCACTATCTAATTCCAGGACATTCTCATCACCCCAAAAAGAAAGTGGTACCCATGAGCAGTCACTCTCCAGCCTCCCATCCCCCCAGCTCCAGGCACCCGCTCACTCATCTACATTCTGTCTCTATAGATAGATTTCCCTGTACTGGACATTTCATATGAATGCAATCATATAATATTTGGACTTTTGTGACTGGCTTCTTTCATTTAGCATAATGTTTTCAAGGTTCATCTACACTGTTAACAGGTGCCAGTACTTTGTTCCTTTTTAGGCCGAATAACATTCCATCGTATAGAATATACCACATGTCATTTATTCTTTCATCAGTCAATGGACTTTTGGGTTGTTATGACTATGAATAATGCTGCTACAAACATTCACCTAAGTTTTTGTGTGGACATATGTTTTCACTTCTCTTGGATTTATATACCTAGAAGTGGAACTGCTGGGTCATCTTGTACTATGTTTAATAATTTCAGGAACTGCCACGTTGTTTTCCAAAGTGACTGCACCATGTTACATTCCCACCAACAGTGTATGAGGGCTATGACTACTCCCCGTCCTCAATGAGGGCAAATTTTAATCCAGCCTTCATAGGACTAGAATAAAAACAGTAACATGGCCAACTTAACGAGTGCTTCATACAGGTATGCACATGGTACCACTGCTTATATGCAGTATCTTTTAACCTCCAGTAAAAAGTATGACCAGCTTGGCTGCACTGAGAAAGCCCCGCTCTGCCTCTTTCCAGCAAGGCTGAGAGAGTCCCCTTAGACTAAGATGAAGCCACAAACACAGTTGAAAGTATGAATCGCTCAAAGGAAAATACAATACAAACTAAACCCCAAGGCAAAAGCTTAACTGAGCCAATTTGGGGGGTGGGGTGGGCGGGAAGGGGAATGCCAGCAAACAAATGAGCAAGGAAACAAAGTGAGGTGAAGGGGATGGCACGTGCCCTCAGATGGGGCAGCCAGCACTCACAGCCCCCGTGCGGGAAAGGGACACAAACCCTTGGCCAGGGCTGTCCCTGCCTCTCGGGCAGCCTGCGTGTGCCCTGATTCACCAGAGCAGCTCATCCTTACCTGCTTCTCACACTGGATTTCTCCAGAGGATTTCTTTTGGGGTAAAAATGAGGGTTTGCCTCTAAACAACTGAAAACCCGCAGTCCTAACCCTTTGTACTAGGAAGCTCCGTGGACATGCAGGACGAAGGGTCTCTGCCGGGGGGGGCGTCAATGTATGGGACATGGTACTAACCAACCATAGGCTGGTATAGCACTTTCCTCTTGGTGCTTTATTTCATCCTTAAAGCAATGCTTCCAGAGCACCGCCCACCCCCAGGCCTGGATCATTAAAGGGATGGGGAAAGGAACGTGACATGTGTTGAAGCAGCTTCTGAGATTGTGCAGCAGGTCAGCAGTTGGGAGACCGAGCAGGACATCTGCTGCCCTGGCCTGCACTTGCCCGCCACTTATCACAAATCCTTCCTATTGCCAAGGCTCCATCAAGGCCTACCAACTCCCGCACCCTCACTTAACCCTACACAACCAAGTCCCCTAATCAGAGGGCTCACAAAAAAGACATCAGGTATCTCCAAGTATATCTAACATTGGGTCCTTCACTGAGCCTGAACTGGTATTCCACATAAGACATCAACAAAGATCAGAGAAAGGAAATCAAAGACAGAAGCTAATTTTTCAATGGAATACAGTTTATAATGGGAAAATACGGAATACAGCACAAGGATCAGTCAATTGGAAATGGTTAAATCAATCATGGGCTTCTCTGTACTCAATACTCTGTAGCAGTTACAAACAAGGAAGTAGAATTTGTATTGAAATAAAGATGCACATGATATAGTCAGCAAAAAAAACAATGTTAGCAGCAAAATGAATGGTACGATTCCATTTTGTGAGATAAATGAACAAGATATAAGAGTTCTATGTGCACAGATAAAAATCTCTAACTTTTCACTGGTCATACACTCATGGCAGTTATTTCTTTGGAGTGAGAAAACAGGAAGAATTCTACTTTTTATTTAAAAAGTATCTGTATTGTTGGGTTCTTTTATTATGTTACCAAATGCATATTAATTTTGTAACTACAAAATAGCATAAAAATGAAAAGAAAGCCTAGCCCTTCCCGTTTCTGAACAATTGAACCTTACAGCTACAGGAGGCATCAGAGCCCACACAGGATGAGGAGGGGCCATGCAGACCTGAGGCCTGGGGTGGGGAAATGCACGGAGCATGAGGACCCAGAGAGGGTGATTAGGGGATGGCATGGGAGAGAGGGCTGCAGAGGTGATGGGAGGAGGGTATGCAGGGGGCTGAACAAGTAAGTACATAAATGAATAGTAATAGCAACTGGGTTTTGAACTGCTGTAAAATGGAAAGAGAGAAAACTAGAATGTAGTACCCTGTGGTACTACAGCATTGGAATGGAACTGGAAATGTTAGTGTGAACTCAGGGTTTTCAATATACCGGGGTGCCAAAAATATGTATACAAGTGAACACGTTGGTCAGTGTGGCTCAAGCAGTAGTTCACTGTAATCAGGAGTGTCTGGACACTGATGGTAACCACTTTGAGCACCTCTTGTAATTGCAGAAGTCAAACATGACTTGTATTCATCTTTTGTTATCGGTGTATATTATTACAATTTTAATAGTTTTTTCCTTTCTTAAAATGTGTATACATTTTTTTGGTACCCTCTGCATACATTATATATTGAAGATACAGATATAGACATAGAAGGAGGAAGAGAGAGATACACATAAACAGAGATAAACAGAGATGCGGGGGCGGGGCTGTGTACTCAGATATTCCCTGCTCTGTCCACTGACAACCTGGGAGCAGGGATCCCCAGCAGCTATGAGCACACTCCACATTCAGATCTTGCTTCTAAATACCATTCTCCACTAAAAGGAATGAGGGGACTCCTTGGAACAATGTCTGATTTCCAGGGGGAGGGCAGGGAAATTGTGAGGTTGGAACAGCTTCTTGTGCCAGAGAGCGAGGAAGTGCTCAGAGAGTAAGAAGGACATGACAAAAAGACGGGGAGGCACAGGCATGAAGGGGCTGCTACTGGCCACGGGTTTCAGCCCTGAACGAAACAGGAAACCATGACGAGGTAGGTAGGTCGGTAGGTAAATAAACAGAAGGGAAACAAGTAACGTTACAGCACAGAAGCCTGGAGACAGCATCTTAGTCAAGTGATCAAAGTGAACATCGTAATGGGTCAAACCAAGCCAAGTCCCAATCAACAGGACGCAGAGAAGGCGGCATCACTCCCGTGCGAGTCCTGCCTGAGATGCATCAAGGAAATCGAACAGTAAGGATCAGACAAATCCAGGCTGAGGGACAGCCTACAAAACAACTGGCTTATAATATTCCAAAGCATCAAGGTCATGCAAGTCGGAGCCTGAGGAACGGTTCGAGACTGTAGGACACCAAGGAGACATGACGGGAATGCAATGTTTTATTCTCAACAGGGTCCTTCTATTGGAGGCACTACTAAGACAGCTGGCAAAATGTGAACGGGGTCTGATGATTAGATGGTCGTATATCCTGACATTGACTTCCTGATGCTGATGTCTACATTACTGTAACATAGGACAACATCCTGTTTGTAAGAATGTTCGCAACAAATGAACACGTTAGCATGTTTGGGAGTGACAGGGCATCAGGTTGCATGAATGATAAGGGGAAAAAATTTCTCTGTACTGTATTTACAATTCTTCTGTAAGTTTGTAATAGTTTCACAATTAAAGTTTTTCTAATTGTAAATAAAAATAAAGCAATGAAGATAATGTCATGCTAAATTATCAAATAAGTTCAGAACGTTCCATACCAGCTCTGTGTCAAGCAAGCCCCAAGAGTGCTGCTTTAAAAATCTCAGGGAACCATAAATGATTCTGAGGGGGGTGGGGTCTCTGCCTAGGCAGTCCATCCTATGCTGCAGGGCTCAGATTACATCCTGCCCCTCCCTGGTATGGCCTGCCAACCCCACACGTCCAGCCTTCTGTGGGCACGGGTACATGTCATGGGCCCCTGCAGTGTCCCTGGGCAGCCGGGGCAGTTCCCGATTGTAAGCTACAGGAGGATAACTGGCCAACGAACTTAGAATGCAGACAGCAGCATGCACACTGGGCCACACTCCCACCCCAAAATAACGGTCACTGCCCCATCTTGTATGTGCCCACGGCTTTAATGTTTCCAAGCTTCTCTCTATCTGTGATCTAATGCAACCTGTACAAGGAAAGGAGGTACAGACCCCCAAGCCCCAGCAGAAGTCAAGTATCTGTCACACACTGCATAGCACCTCCTCCTGGGTAGCCCTTGCAACATTCGCAATGATACACGGACATAGATCTCATTTCATTAACATCTGTCTCCCCCATTGAACGGCAGAGTCCAGGAGAGCAAGGGCTGAGCTTTTGCTCACAGATATGCCAGCACCTCACATGAGGCCGGCTCTCCAGAAATACTTGCTAACTGGTCAGGCGGGTGACCGACCCTGGTCTGCACCCGGCCCCCCGGCCCGGCTCTACCTGCTGCTGCTGGGCCCGGAGGTCGCCGATCTCCTTCTGGTCCTCCTCGTGGAGCCGCTTCATGTCCTCCCACGACTGCTGCAGCAGGTTACGCTCCCGCAGCAGCTGCCCGTTCTCCCGCCTCAGCATGTCCACATCGTCCTTCAGCTGGGTCTGGTCACTCAGGAGCCGGCTGTGGAGTGTGCTGAAACGTCCCCACACACAGTGAGCCCCAGCCAGCCTCCATCCCCCACCCCAGGGCTTCACCAGCCCCTCCAGGGCCCAGTACTCCCAAAACACCAGGCAGGAGCACCAGCAGCCAGATCCACAGCACTCAGGGACAGGCCAAACCTGCTGTCAGCCAGGTGCCAGCAAGACCCAAAGCACTTGCTAAAAACCTGATACCAAAAAGGGCACATATACAAAGGGAGTGAGGGGGAGATAAGCCCCTACCTGGTATAGACCTGGCACCTCCAAGTGCTGGGGTACTGAGGCCGGGGCAAACGTCAGCAGGTAGGCAGGCAAATACCCTCCGAGGGGCACCAGGAGCCCAAAAGGGAACATGCCCCATCTGTCTCTCCTGTGTCAGGAGCTGTGGCAAAGCCCCGGCCAGCGACCCAGCAGCCCAGGGACCTGCTGGGGCCACTGCCTCATGTTTTCAGTCCCTTTCCTGCCTGCCGTGCTTCTGAAGCTGGTGACAGATGGTGTGAAGGGAGAATACACTCACTTCGCACTTAGGAAAACTGAGGCCCAGGGTCACAAACCCACTTGCTGAAGGCCCGCCCACTGCTCGCTATGTGGCAGAGGCAGGACTAGAACCGGACGCCCAGAAATGAGGATGGGGAGGAGGCAGCTGTCCCCGGATGCAGGAGCCCGGCCAGGCAGGCCCCACTCACTGGTAGAAGTCGGTCTCCTTGGCCACCTCCTCACACCGCTTCAAGGCGTTGGTGTGCTGGTTCTGCAGGCTCTGCAAGTCCGACATGGCGCGCACGCACTGGATCTTCAGCCTTTCGTAGTCAGGGTTCAGCCTGTGGTAGGGCCTGGCCCAGACAGCAAAGCTGCTGTCACCAACTGACAAGGAATGTCTCTCCCCTGGGAAGCCATGTCACAGCGCCCAGTGGTTCCCAAAGGCTGGTCTCCCGATCACCACAACCACCCGGGGACTTGTTAAGCTCCGACATCCTGGCCGCACCCAGACTGACAGAATCAGAACCCCCAAAATGGAGGATTTTTTGGCTGCTTGAGCTCCCAGCATGGGCCTGGAGAGCTGAGAAAGGACAATCTTGTTCTCTAGGAGCTTCCAAGAGACCCTGCAACAGGCCTGCACACACAGTGGGTCTACCAGAAACCTGTAATGGGGTTTCTCCTCTCTTTACAACAGCGATTCTCAGTCTTGGGCACACATTAAAATGTCAATACCCGGACCAATTACATCAGCATCCCAGGGAGAGGATTCAGACATCAGGATTTTTTTTTTTTAACTCCCCAGGGAATTCCAATGTGTAGCCAAGGTGGGGAACAGTGGCCAGGCATAGTGGTTCTCAAAGTGGGGTTCTGGGGTCTGCATCACTGGTACCACCTGGGAACTTGTTAGGAAGGCAGCTGTCAGACCAGCCCCAGACCTCCTGAATCCTGGAGAGGGAGGACAGGCTAAATGGCCATCTGTGCTTCAACAACAAGGCCTCCGGGTGAGTCCAGTGCATGTGCGAGTCTGGGAATCCCTGCTCTAGACTAGCAGGTGTCAGCAACCCTTTTCAGTAAAGGGCCACGCAGTAAATACTTTCTTTTGCAGGCCATATGGTCACTGTGCCTTGGTAACATGGAAGCAGCCATGGACACCATGCACTCCAGCACATGTTTCTTCACTGGCTCCACCTTTGTGCTGTCTGAAGCAACCTCTAGGAGCAGGCTCTGCAGCCCTGACATTTTCCCCAGAGGAACCTTCCTCACAATGAGGCACACGCCCTGATGCTCCTAAAAGGAAGAGGTTAAACCAATAACCCCTCCTCTCAGGCCCCCTACCAGCATCTCCAGGATAAACCACTCTACACCTCCCCTCCTCCTCCATGAAGCCCTCCTGAATCATGCAGGTGGGTCAAGACTCTCCCTCTGCCCCACCCCTTGGGCTGCCCTTCCCTGGTAACTACCTCCAGATCCCAACAAAAGAAGCAATTAAATATATTCTTCAAAACAAAGAAGACAGGTGGAATATACACTTCCTAAAACACATATGTGGCAGGGTACAAATAATGTCTTTCCAAACCACATAAAGACCCACCCAACAGGAGGCAGGCTGGGGTCTTCTGGGAGACAAAGGCACACGTGCGAGCACATATACACACACACACGCACGCGCACACACGCACACACATGCACACACGCGTGCGCGCGCAAACTGTCAAGGACTGGGCAATGGGATGATTCTCTACAGAGGGCAAGGGCTGCACACGGCAGCAGCAAAGGATAAAGAGAGAAGCATCTTGTCTTGGAGCTGGATGGCAGAGGCCTACACAGGTTGGTGATGAGCTCAAGGCCATCCAGCCAGCCAGTGAGGAGATGCCAAAGGAGGACCAGGCCCTTCCGGCCGCTGCCAAGGCCACCTGCTGACTCGTCATCTGCAAGGCCAGCAGCAAGGCTAGGAGGCCGGCCCCACGCTCTTCTGCCAGAAGTACGCACACGCACGCGCACACACTCCACTGTCAGGCACCAAATGCATACTGGACGTACACCCACACCTTTCAATCCCTGAGTTGTGTGATTCAGGCCACGGGCTCCAATTCTGATTTGGACAAAGCAGAACAAGCCTACGCCGCTCTCCCCAGGCCTGTAGGGAGAGCACTTCCATGTGAGGTGGGGGAAAGGGGACCCCTAGGAGCTCAGGATCCCCCGGTAGAAAGGCGATGTGATGGCATCAGGACAACGCTTGCCCATTGCCAAGGGGTTGAGTGCTGGGCAGCGGAGGTGGCCGATCACTACCTCTTGTCACAGGCCGTCCCGTGAGTCGCAAAGGCCAGGCGCTTCCGCAGCTCATTCCTCTCGCGGGTCATCAGCCGCAGCTGAATGGAGAGGTTCTCCACCTTCTCGTTCACCTGCCGGTCAGTGAGGAGGGGCGGTGGAGACGGCGCCTTCCCGGTGGTGCCTGGCAAGAGGAAAATAATAAAATGAACCTGCACTTAGAGCTCACCAGGTGCCGGGCACTGTTCTGAGCTCTGACTTGCATAGTTACTCCCAACAGCCCTACCAGGTATGTCCTGTTAGCATCCCCCTTTCACAAATGACACCCACTCAGAAAGTAAGAAGTGGAACTGGGCCGAAGCCCAGGCAGGCTGGCTCCAACACGCAAGCACTCACCCACCCACTCCCCTGGCCCTGGCTGAGGACCCTGAGGACCTCCACTCTTCCCAACCGGCTCTGACACCTCTAGGATGGAATTGTTTGGACCTAATCCTTGCCTAGTCTGGAAACACCAGCTATTACCCACCCCTGGGCATGGAGGCCAACCTGAGCCCTAAGCAGAGCGGAAGACATGCTGAGAAGGAAAGGAACCCAGCAAGCTCCCGAGGACCAAGGCGGCCAGCTCCGAAGCTGGGGTCCTGGGACTATGTCCCCGTTCTTCCCTGACCAGGGCTGGACACTCTGCACAGTTCCCTTTTCCGAGCAGGCCAGTGGCCTGAAGGACCTGCCCAACCAGCCCAGGTGCACAGGCTTGGAGGAGGCTGTCAGGGAGAGCTGCCCACAGCGAAAGTTAAGTGTCACGTGACACAGGGAAGTCCTGGGGCCTCTGGCTGCCCAGCCCACATCGAACCCTCATCACCAGGACCCAGGACTAAAAGTGTCCTAAAGGGAACCCCATGCCTTTTGATATTATGAAGAAACAGCAGCCACCATCAGCACCTTTGACAAGATCCAAATCCGTTTCTAAGAACAGAGCATCTCACGCAACTGTCTGAGAAGAAGCGATGAATCCATGGTACTTTTGTGTTTAACTCTGTCCGTACATTCACCCGAGATCTCCTCTAACCCTCAAAGATTCAAGGTGGGGTCACAGAACTCACAGAAGCCATTCCACTTCATGGATATAATTGAGGAGTCTGACTCCTGTGTCCCAGCGTTTTCTCCCCAATAGCCCTAGAATGTGCAACGGGCAAGATATGTGTCTTCTGACTCTGCCATCCCGACCACCAGCCCCTCAGCTGATCCTTGTTGGCTGACTGTTCATACAAACCAAGTGTGTGTCCCCCCACCATCACCACCACCACCAAGACAAAAGACAGGCACTCAGGTGTGGCCGTGCATCTTCCAGGAGTGCCAGGGAGGATGGCGAGCTCAACACTGTGGGTGACAAGCTAGACCACAGCCAGAGGTAGGAGCCTCAAGCTCTCAGATCAGCGTTATCCAACACTGGTACCCAAACCACCTGAATCTAACATCTCCTGAAGTGCATGTTATTTTAAAACCACTACCACCATCACCACCGGGATTCCTGGGCTCCAGGCCAGACCTCTGGGTCAGAATGTCCTCTAAGGTGGGGTCCAGACCAGCTTCCCACGAGCTTCTCCGCCCCCCACATGGTTCTACTCCACAGCCTGAGAAGCCTTCCCTCACGTTTCCCCAGAACACCCTGGATCCTAACTCCTGCCCCAGAGTTTTGGGAAAAGGCTGATTCCAGTTCTGTGTGGCCTGTGACATTTCTTCCTCTTTTGGCAAATGGAGTCACTTTTATGAGCTTTAGCCCAGGGCCAGTTCTACACTGTCATCTCGATTTGCAGTAACTTACCCAACTCTCTCACAAGTGGAGCTTCCTCTGGCCCTGTGCCTGATGCCCCTCCTGGAGATGACTATGACTCACCCTCTAAACAACTCCAGGGGAAACTGTGGGGGACTGACAAGCCCAAGGGAGTGAGACACTCAAAGAGCGCCCAGAAAGGGGGGATTTCAATGGTCACAGTCACGACCGAGAGCAGACAACACAGTTGTCCCAGGCATTAACTTCATCTTCCCAACAACCCAGGTGGGTACTAATAGTATCATCCCCATCTCATATAGGTGAGAAAGCTGACGCCCAGCAAGGTTAGGTAATCAACTCGAGGTTGCACCAAGAGCAAGTGGCGTGCCCTGAGACGGGGCCAGGCTCGAGGATTCGGACCACGTGCTCTTCCCACGGAGCCTGGCTGCCTCCCCAGTGACAGCCACGAGTAGCACTTACCTCATGTGCTGCAGCGTTTGAAATGCTTCCCATACATCATCCTGTTCAATCCCCTTAGGGAAGACAGTGCTGTTATCCCCATTCTACAGACCAGGAAACAAACCCTTACCAAGGTTAAGGAACACATCCAGGTCACAGAGCCAGCAGATGACAGCACTGAACCTCCCTCTGTCTCCCTAACCCCAGAGCCCAAGGTCCTAACCTAAAAGTGAGCAAACTTTTTCATGTTAGGGCCTCTTTACTCTTTTAAAAATGACTGAGGACTCCAAAGAGCTTTTGTTTATATCTAACAATTTTTAAATACTAATTTAAAAATATCCAAAAACCCATTACATAGTCACATGAGATTTATGAAAAATTACCCTTTCCATTACAAAACAAAAAATGTAACGAGAAGCGTGACACTGCTTGGCATCTTTCTATCGCTGCTCGATGTCTGGCTTCAGACTGACAGCCAGTCTCTTATCCGTGCACTTATCACACATCATGACGGAGCCTTCAGAAAATCCCACCGTACAGTGGAGTGTTCGCGAGCACGAGAGCGGAAAAGACAAATGACGCCTTAGTGTCATTATGAAAACAGCTTTGACCTCACCGGCCCCCTGCAAGGCCCTCAAGGACACCACACCATGCTGGGAGAACAGCTGTTCTGTGCTATGCTCAAGCCCAGGAAGTAACAGAGAAATATCAAATCTCGAGTTTGGGAACTGAAAAGCACCACCAGATGCGGCAACCTGCCCTCAGGAAGATAAAGGATTTCACCCCATTTTACAAATGAGGCAACAGAGAGGTGTATCCCGTGGCTTTCGCAGAAGCTGGAGAGAAGCAGTAGCAGGACAGAAGGAGGGGTCACCAGATCTGTCACCATGCACAGCCACGCCTCCTCAGTCTCCAACAGGGTGAGGCCACTTGTTCTGCAGCTGTGAGGACCTAGAGCAGCTGATCACACAGACAATGAAGTGAGCACCAGTGTCTGCACACCACAGCCCAGGTGCTGGATTCTGTGCTTAACACACTGCGTCCTGACCTCATTAATCCCCACAGTAGCCTCCCAGCTATGTGATGGGTCACCCTATGAGAAAATGACATCCAGAAAGACTGCACAGCTAGGAAAGCGGCAGGCCATCACGGGAACTCAGCTCTGAATCCAGGGCCAGGGCCTCCAACCCACGCTATCCCGCCTGCTGACAGGAGGGGTCCCGTTTCCTTTCCCGTGCTCCAAAGGCTTGAGCCTGCATGAAACATACAAAAAGTGAGGTCACCCAGGCCTGAGAAGCCATCAAACAGCAGGCTCTCTGACTCAGGGGAAATGCTGCCTGGGTACCACTGTCCTTAAGCAGTAAGGAAGGCAGAGAACAGAGGAGGCCACGGGGGACCTCGAGAGGAGTCCACAGATGTGGACCGATGCACACAAGAGCATGGGGGAATCGCAAACATCTTACACCAACTGAAAGAAGCCATACTCAAAAGGCTACGTACTATATGATTCCATTCATATGACATTTGAGAAAAGGCAAAACTATAGGGGCAGAAAAAATTGTGGTTGCCAGGGGCTAGGTGGGGGTGGAGGGAAGAACAGCAGACTACAAAGCTGCAGAAGGAAATTTTTGGGGGTGAAGATACTATTCTGTATCTTAATTGTGGCGGTGGTTAAATGACCATGTATGTTTGTCAAAACTCACTGAGCTATATACACTAAAAAGGATAAATTTTACTGTATGTGATTTATACCTCAATGAACATGATTTTTTTAAAAATTAAATTAAAAAAAACAAAACCTGTGGTGCCCTAAACTGAAGCCATCATCCCAGGAGTGGTGGGACTGGTGAACCGATGTGGGTTGCCAAGCCCCTCACCAGTCACTGCAGTTACAGTAAACATTTTAAATAACAAGGAAAATAAAAACAACTTCAGGTGACTTGTCCAAAAAATGTCAAACACCTTTTTCTCTGTCCTACCTTATGCAGTTGTCCTTTTGGATTCAAATGAAAACCGTCCACTCTCCCCGGCTTCACTCCCTCCTCTTTCCAAATCTGGAACCTACTTGAGAAGAAGGCAGATTTTCCATTCCCTTTTGGTGTCCAGGATGGGATTTGGGGGTGAAGGATTTGGGTTGGACTAAAATGGACTCAAAGGGGGATGCCAGAAGAGCCGGCACAGGCCCTGGACTTTGCACAAAGAGCTGTCACTCATCTGGGCCTTGGTGTGAGAGAGACAGCAGCCGCAGAGGCGCAGCAGGCAGAGGACACAGAGCCCCTTTCACCATCACATGAGTCCTGCCTCCTCCTCCCAGTTGCCCCAGCTGGTGCAGCCACTCCCATAGACCATTGAGGCTCAGCAAGCAGCCTGGCAACTGGGTGCTTTTCTTGGCCATAAGCCCCCTTTGTCAGCTCCCTCATCACCACGCTCCAGTAGAGGCCACCCCGTCAGTCTTATTCACAGCTGGACAGATCACAACTCTGCTTCAGAGCCCTGTGGACCCTACGGTGCCAGAAGCCAAGGAGAAAACTGGCACTGGCCAAAAGTGGTCAGGTGTGGTGGGGATGCCCTGGTAAGCTTCCTGGTCACCTCCAGGCCCTGGCTGTCAGGGGAGAAGCAAAGGAACAGCACAGCGTGGTCATCGCAGGCAGTGGACAGCAAAACCAAGCCAACCTCACCGCCAGCCCAGCAGAGCCCCAGCCATAGAACCACCGCCCCTTGGCCTGAAGGTGCTTCCGAAAGCACCTTCGCTTCAGAAGAGAAGCTGTTAGAAAGGTCTCATCCTGATATAAGCTCTATTTTCTGAATGTAAAGCTATTTTCATTGCCATTTCTAAAAATCCAGGTTTCTGGATATTGTAAAAATGTTCACTGCAGATATAATTCTGTAAATTTCATAGTGTTTTATTTTGAAATGAAAGCTTTGTTAGTTTATGAGATATTTTCCTATTTAGA